CCGCAGCCGGAGCCGGAGCCGGAGCCGGATCCCCGCGGCGCAGAGCTGAGTCTGAGCCGGGCGGCCGAGCGGAGCCGGACGGCAGCTATGGACCGCTAGGGCCGGGCGGAGCCCCGCGATGCCGCCGCCCAGTGGCCCCAGCGTCCTCGCGCGGCTGCTGCCGCTGCTGGGGCTGCTGCTCGGCGGCGCCTCCCGGGCTCCGGGCAAGTCTCCCCCGGATCCCCCCAGCCCGCAGGGTGAGTCTCCGCCGCGAGGGGCGGTGATCGTGGGCCTGCGCTCCGCGATCAGCTCCCGTCGCTGGCCCCTCTTCGCGGTGCAACTGAGTTGGGGTGCATTCTGCTCCCTGGATTGGGGTGGGGTTGGGAGGCTAGGAGACCTGAGATCGGCGCTTCAGGGGGAAAGAGGGGGGCAGGGTGTTTGTTGCGGGGGTCTTGGGGAGACACAATGCGGAGGGCGAGGGTCCCCCGGCTCCGCGCCGCCGCCGCCGCCTCCGACTTGTTTTTCTCCCTCCTGGTCCTCGAGGCGCTGCTGTCTGAGCCATTGTCTACCGAGGACACCCGCCCAGGGGCGGGCTGGGGCGGGCGCCGGCTCCGCAGCCCCCCGCGGGTCCCTCGCTGCCACCCCGGCTGGGTGGGGGCGCAGGCATCGGCTGCCACCCTGGACCGGACGGGGGCTGGGCGCCTAGAGCTGAGCTTGGCGGGGGGAGGGGAGAAGGGGGAGTGGGTGAGGCTGTGGGCGGGATTGACTGACTGCTAAATAGGGTTTGCACCCTGGAGCCTGACAGCTTCCAGCCAGCCCCCCAGGTTTAGAATTTGGGGTGAACCAAATAAATGTTGGTCAGCCCATGATGGAGGAGGAGCTGCAGTTGAAGGGGGGCTGAGAAAAGGGGTAATCGCGATTCCCAGTTCAAGGCGCATGGCAGGGCTGTGGTCGCCGAGCCATGCTGAGCTGACTGGCTGGCTGTGGGCAAGCACCAGCTGAGAGGGCAGGTGTCTGGGTCCCCGTCCAGCCTGTCTTCTGCTATTCCTCTCCTCTGCCAGCTTCCAGATCGCTGCCCGCCCCCATTTCATTTCTCTCCGCAAAGGAGACCCTCCTAGAGCATGACCAGGCCCAGGTGGGTGTGTGAGGTGGGGGTTGGGACATCTGCGGTGGGAGAGAGGCTCCATGACTCCACACCTCACTCCTGGGTGCTCCAGGGGATCTACCCTCTCCAGCCCTGCTTCCCACACCCACTTCTCTGGCTCCTGCGCCACCTCCCCACTATTGCTGGCCCCTCCCCTGCCTGTGTCTCCTGTCCCTGCTTTAAACCAGGTTCTTCACTCCTTACACTGCCCCCCACCAGAAGCTGGCAGGAAAGGCAGGGTGGGGGTCTGGTTGAGGGAAGTAGGGTCCAGACGGAGGGAGGAGAGAGGATTTCCTCCTGGAATGAGGCAGGGGTGAAGTGAGAGATGTGGACACTGTATGGAATGTTAGGCTTTGAGGGTTGGGAGGGATCTCTCCGTCCCTCAGTCTCCCCTGGTCTTACTAAGGGGAAGCCCAAGCTTCTTAGGAAGTCTCTCCCTCCAGGCCCTGCACTCCTAAGGAGCCCAGGGAATTAGCTGGACTGGAGCCAGGCATCTATCTGGCTGGAAGCCCAGGCTGAGGAGAGAATGGGGAGAGAGTCTGCTAAACCCCCCCCCCCCCTTAGCTTGGCACTGATGCACTTTCAGGCCTTACCTGCCCATCTCTGTTTTGATTTCCCAGTTCTCTTCTCTCTTCTGGGGCTTTGGCCCTTGAGCCCAAAACCCTCCCTTAAGTGACAGAATTTCAGACTCCTGGATCCCCTTTTCCCAGCTGCTCTCCAGCTGTTCCTAGCCCAGGATACAGTTGGGGAGTAGTCAGGCCCTATAGCTTCCCAGAATTCCTCCTGGGGCAGGGGGCTGCCACTCCTTGGAGAACCAGAGTGAGAGTGGGCAGAGTGGGTGCCACACCCTGCAAGGCTAGTCCCTGGCCTAGCAGGGAAAGGGAGGTGGGCTTTGAGAACAGCTGGATGGGATGCCAGGGACAGGCGTGGCATCCTGGATTGGAAGCCTGAGATAAGACACCTGTCACTGCTGAGTGTCAGGCTCCATGTGAAAGGCCTTCTTGAAGTCTCTGTGACTCCAGGCACCCCCTGCCTGGTACCCTGGTGCTCTCAGCTCCAAACTCTTCTTTCTGTACCTGGACTCCTTTAGATTTTCACTCAATACCCAATGTATTCCCCTCCTGTCTCCTGGGTCTCTGCAACTCCCCCATTTTGGAACAAGTGGGCATGGTCTTCAGGGAGAGACTGGTGCCAAGTGGGAAGGGTTAGATGGCAGAGAGGTGGCCTGAGGAATCCATGAAAGCAATCCAAGTCCCCGTCACCCCATCCAAACTTTGGAGTCAGCCTAGACAGGTTACCCTGGAGCCTGGGTCCCCCAGAATCTAGAAGACTTGTGCTTCCCTTCCCAGCCCCCTGAACACCTTTTTCCAATGGGCGGGGTTTGCTCCCCAGATCTCCCTTCCTTGCCAGGGCCCCAGCTCCCTGCCTGATCTCCTGGGAGGAATGAGGGTGTTGCCATGGTGACTGGCTGTAGCTGGCCAGCTAGAAACATAAGGGGGAGGGGAGGAGATATTTGTTTGCCTTATAAGTTGGGGCAAGTCCCTAAATTCAAAGGGAAACAGGTTTTGGCCAAGAATCCTGGAAAGAGAAAGCGTGATGGGGATAACCAATTCTTAGAGTCTTCTCAAGGTTTATTTTTATTTGTACTAGTGTTTTGCTTTGCCTGTATGTATAACTAGTATGTGTGCAGTGCCCACAGAGGCCAGAAGAGGGCAATGGAGCCACCATGTGGGTGCTGGCAATTGAACCTGGGTCCTCTGCAAGAATAGCAAGTGCTCTTAACTGTTGAGCAATCCCTCCAGCCCCTCAATTTTTTTCTTGAGACCCCAAATAGGGACCCAGTTCCCATCCTCCTTCCAAATTGTCTAATCTTGACCTCTCCCTCTCCACCTGAGGTGCCTCACTGTCCCCTGACTCATCCTCTCTCAGCCCCTTTTCCTCTCTATAGACCTTGGTCTCTTAGGGTTAACTGGCTAAAAATTTATATCCTAGAAGTAAACCACCAGGTTTGGGGCTAAGATCTCACACTTAACTGTCATGCAAGTACACAGACTTTCTCAGCCTCGGTTTCATTATCTGTTAAACAGGCTGAGGGCATATCTTAGCAAATAGACTATATCATTGACTATAAGTTGGACTCTCATCTCATGTACCAGCAGGAATGGAAAAAATGCTGTCAATTGTAACTATGACACCATCCACCATAGACATTGCCTAAACTCAGAAAAGTTAAAATGCAAAGTGTGCCTGGGCCAGAGATATAGCACAATCTCCCCCTCCCACTGTTCTGGCAGACGATATAGCTCACTACTAGACTGGTGCTCAGCAGGCTCAAGGGGCTGGGTTTGACCACCAATACTGCAAAAATAATAAGTCAATGCTAGCTCATATTATACTTGTTATGGAATCAGCCCCAAAGCCTCTCTCCACCAGCAGCCCTCTCCTTTGCTCTTGGGGCTCCCTCCAGTTCTTGCCCTTCCCTTCCGTTCTCACTCTGCTCACTCTGTCTTGCCCACAGAGATCCTGATCAAGGTGCAGGTGTATGTGAGCGGGGAGCTGGTACCTCTGGCCCGGGCCTCGGTGGACGTGTTTGGGAACCGTACTCTGCTGGCTGCCGGAACTACGGATTCAGAGGGCGTGGCCACACTGTCCCTCAGTTACCGCTTGGGCACTTGGGTGCTGGTCACTGCTGCCCGCCCTGGTTTCCTCACCAACTCTGTGCCGTGGCGTGTTGACAAGCTGCCCCGTGAGTGTAGGGGCAGGTGGAGGGGGGACAGCAGCTGAACCTCCATCAGCCCCTTCCCAAAATAGGGTTTGGGGGAGGGGGCAGGCTTTCCAGCAGCTGCTGCCTGGGCTGGGGCATGCAGAGGGGGCTGAGGGAGGTTGGAGCCATAGGGATACAGATGAAGAGGGCGCCTGGGAGACACTTTTTCTGGAGCTGACAGGCTATTCCTCTTTCAGTGTATGCATCAGTCAGTCTCTACCTGCTCCCAGAGCGGCCAGCCACCCTCATCCTCTATGAGGACCTTGTGCACATCCTGCTAGGCTCTCCTGGTAAGCCCCCACTCCACCCTTCACTCCATATCAGCTCTTCCTTGGCCTGTGTGCAGAGACCTCTGTGCCTTCACAGAAAAGCTGGGTGTCCTTGGGCAAGTTACTTAACCTCTCTGAGCTAGACTTTGTGAATGTATACAATAAGGAAAGATAATATCTACGTCATCTAATTGAAGTAACAATTAGATCACATCAACTATGCAAAAAGAAGGGGCTGGAGAGACGGCTCAGTGGTTAAGAGCACTGGCTGCTCTTGCAGAGGACCTAAGTTTGGTTCCCAGCACCCATATGGCAGCAAACAACTGTCTTTAACTCTAGTTCTGGGGGAATCTGATAACCTCTTCTGACCTCCACAGACTTTGCATGACATGGGGCACTTACTTACATGCAATACACTCATACACATAAAATAAAAATAATAAAATATTTTTTTAAAAATATGCAAGAAGAAAACAGGTGTTCAATGAACGTTTATAGTATTTCCATCTCTCTGCCCCCTTTATCTTCAGTGGATCTATATGTATTAGTTGTGTACCTCATGGTCTAACAACCTGGCACCCAGTAGGTACACAACTAATATATACAGATGAACAGATACCTATGAGTGGTCTGGATTAGTCCTCAGTGGGCCTTGTCTTTTTGTACAGGCCTTCAGTCTCAGCTCACATTTCACACTGCACTGTGCCATGTATGATGGCTGGTGCTGGGGCACAGTGGTAAGGAAACACAGACCTACAACCTGCCTTGTATTCCTAAGCAAGTGGGAAGACAGACAAATACCACTGTAGATCTGGAATAGTTACAGAGCAGGCAGGCAGTGGCAGAGAAGGCCACATTCCATGATGAGATGTCCCTGACCTTCAGGGGAGCCCAGTGGGGAAGATGAGGGAGCAACAGACCATGTGGACTAGAAGCCGAAGGCAAGCTGGGGCACCAGGCTGGAGAGGAAATCAGGCAAAGTTGTCCAGCTGGCAGATGGGCAGTGAGGGCTCACAGAACTTGTGAGCCTGACTATTGAGTGTAAACTCTGTGTGGCCAAAACTACAGAGCCACACTGGGTTTTGGAGTGGGAGAAATCCTTCATCAGTTGAAATTCTTAGTGTGAGTCCTTATTGGCAAATTATTATTTGCAATATTCATCTCTCTGACTCCACACCACAGGCCTCCAAATGCCAGGAGGTTCTAAAATACCAAATGGATCTCTGTTGCCCCAGAGCTTACAGCCCTCTCATGGCTCCCAGTGTATAGCCCAGGCCCCTCAGGGATCTGGCAGGGCCCTCCATGATGAGGCAGCTATCGAATACCCCTTGTACCCTGTGGGTCTCTGACCGTTCTCCTGCATATTCTCAGAGGAGCCTTTCCCACTCTCTCTCACCCTGCAAGACTCAGCAAGGCCAAGCTCCCAACATTTCATAGTAAAGCAGGATGGACTGGAGAGTGAGGGGGAAGAACCAGGCTCCAGGGTGGTGGCCTCGGGCAGGTTACTTGGTCTCTGTTTCTGCATCTATAAAATGGAGTTGACAGTAGCTTCTATCTCAGGTGCTGTTATGCTAATTATGGGGGTTACTATACATAGCCTGCTTAGGACCATATCCAGGATATTCTAATGCTTAATAAATGTTACCTATGATCACACTGGATTGGATTTCTGTTTATGTGTGCTCTCTCCACCCCTATGTACACACAGCACCCTAAGCTAATGTGTTTATCTAAATTGAAATGATTTAATTTAAAATTTCATTACATCCTTAAAAATCAATGATAAATTCAGTTCATCAGTTACACACAGTAGCCACTTTTTTCCTTTATATTTTGAGACAGCATCTCACTCTGTAGCTCAGGCTCACCTGGGACTCGGGATCCTGTTTCAGGTTCCCAAGTACTGAGATTATACATAAATGCCATCATGCCAGGCTCATTAGTCACTTTTCAAATGCTCAGTAGCCACATGTATGCAGTGGATACTGTAATGGGCAGTAGAGGTACAGAACTTTTCCATCACAGCAGGAAGTTCCAACAGAACAGCACCGAATGAGCCTGTAGACATGAAGGGAGCAAATCTCTTATTCAGCCCAGCAACCTAGGACCCAACTCAGTGCCTGTCATTCAGGGCACATTGTTAACCTAGGACATGAACCACATCCTTTTATACATTTATAAGGAAACCTTTCAGAAACAGCAAGTAATTTGCTGAAGATCACACAGTCACAGAGGATTGGAGGTTTCAGGATCATGTTCCTTCTAAGTTAGTCTACTCTGGCTACTCAGCTCTCTCTACACCATCACTCTTCCTGGTCTTGTCAATTGGCCTAACCCACGGCTCCTTTTTTGGATGTTTGCTCTTTCTTTCTTTCTTTTTTTCCCCCATATTTTGAGACAGGGTTTCCCTGTAGCTCTAGCTGACCTGGAACTTGCTACGTAGACCAGGCTGGCCTCGAACTCACTGAGATCCACCTGCCTCTGCCTCCTGAGTGCTGGGAGTAAAAGCATGTGCCACCATGCCCAGCTTGAACCCAGGGCCTTTGTAAGAGCAGCCAGTGCTCTTAATCACTGAGCTATCTCTCTAGTCTCTGGAAAGGCCCTGGTATTCCTTCCTAGTCAGGCCACCACAGCCTCTTTTTTCACCCAGGTGCCCGCTCCCAGCCCTGGGTACAGTTCCAGCGCAGAGCTGCCCGCCTGCCAGTGAGCTCCACCTACAGCCAACTCTGGGCCTCACTCACACCAGCCAGCACCCAGCAGGAAATGCGGGCTTTCCCTGCCTTCCTGGGCACTGAGGCCTCCAGCTCAGGTAGGCCATGTGCTGGATGGAGAAGGGGACTCCTCTCTTCCTTGGGTTCTTGGCCTTCAAAGTCTGTGTCGTCTTCCCCCAGGCAATGGCTCCTGGCTGGAGCTGATGCCTCTGGCTGCTGTGAGTGTGCATCTGCTGACAGGCAATGGGACAGAGGTGCCACTCTCAGGCCCCATTCACTTGTCCCTGCCAGTGCCCTCAGAACCTCGTGCTCTGGCTGTGGGCACCAGCATTCCAGCCTGGAGATTTGACCCCAAGAGTGGTAAGTGTTGCAGGTGCTGGAGTTTGGGGAAGGGAGGTGGGACTTCGGTTGGGGTTGGGGGAACATTGTTTAACTCCTCCCACCTCTCCCAGGGCTGTGGGTACGAAATGGCACTGGTGTGATCCGGAAGGAAGGCCGGCAGCTCTACTGGACCTTTGTCTCCCCACAGCTGGGGTACTGGGTGGCTGCCATGGCCTCCCCTACGTCTGGTGAGAGTGGGGGGCTGGGGGGAAGGAGGCATGGGGCAGTGGCAGGAGGGAAGGCTGGAAGAACCCAGGCCTTGTGAAAGGCAGGTGGGCATCCACTAAGCCCTTGCCTGGCACAGGACTGGTCACCATCACCTCAGGCATTCAGGATATCGGCACCTACCACACCATCTTCCTGCTCACCATCCTGGCAGCCCTGGCCCTGCTGGTGCTCATTCTACTGTGTCTACTTATCTACTACTGCCGGTGAGTGCTCCTGGGACCAACCTGCCCTCTCTCACTGGATCCTGATGCCTGCCCTATGCCTGATCTTTTTTAAAAAAATATTTTATTATTTTTTTATTTTGTTTATGAGTGTATTGCGTGCATGTATGTGAGTGCACCTGAGTCGTGCAATGCCAAGGACGTCAGAAGAGGGCATCAGATTCCCCTGGAACTGGAGTTAAGGATGGCTCATAGCCACCATGTGGGTGCTAGGAATTGAACCTAGATCCTCTGCAAGAGCAGTGAGTGCTCTTAATCGCTGAGCCATCTCTCCAGCCCCACCTGATCTTTTTTTTTTTTTTTTTTTTTATGCCGTATGAATGTATTGCCTGCATATGCGCAAGTGCACCTGTGTCATGCAATGCCCATGGAGGTCAGAAGAGGGCATCAGATCCCCTGGAACTGGAGTTACAGATGCTTGTTAGCTGCCATGTGGGTGCTGGGAATCAAACTCAGATCCTCTGCAAGAGCATCCAGTGCTCTTAACTGCTGAGCCATTTCTCCAGCCCCTAATTGATTGATTTTTATTTTATGTGTATAAGTATTTTGCCTACATGTCCCTAAGTGCACCACATGTGCACAGAGCCCACAGAAACCACAAGAGGGGGCTGGATGTCTTGGAACTGGAATTATGGGTGGCTGTTAGCCCTGTGGCTGCTGGCCAAGTCCTCTACAAGAATAGTCAGTGCTCTTATGCTCTGAATTAGGGCCCCATAGATGCAGAAAACACAATTCTGATCCCTAAGGTACTGCCAGGAAAGGACTGTATGTGTATAAGCAAAGAGACTTGAGGGACTGGTGGCTCAAGTGGAGGTGGTAGTGCAGGCCTGCCCCTGCCCCCGACCATTTGCACCTGCTCCTAACAGTGCAGGTCCAGACACTCCTAGCGGCTTAGATGCTCTTTCAAGTTCTTACGAGCCAAGCTGAATGGACGAAGCTCTTGGATTGATGATCCTTTCTATAAACAGCTCCCAGGCCTCCTGTAGGCCCCACACCATCTCTCTTGAACGTCCCAAGCAAGCATCATCCACCTTCTACCCCTCAACTATCTTCATCCTTCATCCTCCAGCCTTGGGGGCTAAGGAGGTACCTTGGCCCTTGGCATTCCTGACATCCCCCATGAAGGACCTCTTTTCTCCTCTCCAGGAGACGCTGCCTTAAGCCAAGGCAACAGCACCGCAAACTGCAGCTCTCCGGGCCCTCTGACAACAAACGAGACCAGGCCACTTCCATGTCTCAGCTGCACCTCATCTGTGGGGGACCCCTGGAGCCCACCTCCTCTGGAGACCCTGAGGCCCCGCCCCCAGGCTCCCTGCACTCTGCCTTCTCTAGCACCCGGGACCTTGCATCCTCCAGGGATGACTTCTTCCGAGCCAAACCGCGCTCCGCCAGCCGCCCCGCCGCGGAGCCGCCTGGTGTCCGCGGGGGCGAGGGTGCCGGGCTCAAAGGCGCACGCTCCGTCGAGGGTCCCGGTGGGTTGGAGCCCAGCCTGGAGGAGTACCGTCGAGCACAGACGGGGGCCGCAGCATTCCTGCACGAGCCGTCCTCGCCGCCACCATCCTTCGACCACTACCTGGGCCACAAGGGGGCAACGGAGAGCAAGGCCCCCGACTTCCTGCTGTCTCAGTCGGTGGACCAGCTGGCGCGCCCGCCGTCCCTTAGCCAGGCCGGGCAGCTCATCTTCTGCGGCTCCATCGATCACCTCAAGGACAACGTGTATCGCAACGTAATGCCCACCTTGGTGATCCCTGCACACTACGTGCGCCTCGGCGGCGAGGCGGGAGCCACTGGGGTGGGGGACGAGGCCACCCCACCTGAGGGCTCGGCGCCGGGCCCCGCGCGCCCTTTCCCGCAGCCCGACCCCGCGCGCCCGCTGCTGCAGGGCCACCCGGGCGCCACTGGCGAGGGCGCCGGCGGCGAGGGCTGGGGCGGCGGGCGCGCAGCCCCGGTCAGCGGCTCGGTCACCATCCCGGTGCTGTTCAACGAGTCCACGATGGCGCAGCTCAACGGGGAGCTGCAGGCGCTGACCGAGAAGAAGCTGCTGGAACTGGGCGTGAAGCCTCACCCGCGCGCCTGGTTCGTGTCCCTGGACGGCCGCTCCAACTCGCAGGTGCGCCACTCCTACATCGACCTGCAGGCTGGCGGCGGGGGCCGCAGCACAGACGCCAGCCTGGACTCCGGCGTCGATGTGCACGAGGCGCGGCCAGCGCGCCGCCGACCCCCCAGGGAGGAGCGGGAGCGCGCCCCGCCCGCCCCGCCGCCCCCGCCTGCGCCCCCGCGCCTGGCGCTCAGCGAGGACACGGAGCCCAGCAGCAGCGAGAGCCGCACCGGTCTCTGCTCCCCCGAGGACAACTCGCTGACGCCGCTGCTGGACGAGGTGGTGGCGCCCGAGGGTCGGGCAGCCACAGTGCCCCGGGGTCGGGGCCGCAGCCGCGGGGACAGTTCCCGCAGCAGTGCCAGCGAGCTGCGGCGCGACTCGCTCACCAGCCCGGAGGACGAGCTGGGGGCAGAAGTGGGCGACGAGGCGGGCGACAAGAAGAGCCCCTGGCAGCGGCGGGAGGAGCGGCCGCTAATGGTGTTCAACGTGAAGTAGCGCAGCCCGGGGGTCTGCCCCCGCCACTCCCCCCTGCGCGGGTCCCCAGAGTGCGCGCCCCGGGGAGCTGCGGAGGCATGCGCACTTAGCCCGGAGATGGCGCCCAGGGGCCTGCGGTCCTCCGGTTGGTATGTGCAGGTTAAAGTCTTGGGAAGGAACCCTAGATCTGCCTCCAAGCAGAGGGAGGTGGGAGGGGCCCGCCCCCCCGTGGGAGGGGCGGGGGAGGAGGGCTGGGGGAGGGGTGCAGCGCCTGTATAAACGTGGCTGTACATAGAAAGATCTATTGTGGGAGAGCAGGAGGGGCAACCCAGCCTCAGCTGCTAGGGTCAGGGCTGGGAAGGGAGGGGCATTCTCTGAGGACCCTTGGGAGGGGAGGGGTGCTGCTTGCTGAGCTGTCCATCTACAGGGCTGGTGGCTGGGGCAGTCCTGGGGGCTAGGGGTAATGTGATGGGGCCGCTGTGGGCAACAAAATGATATAAAACTGGTGAGGTTAAGCTGTGTGTGTCTTTCTGTAGGGAGGGGGTGTTGGCACTGGAGGATCCCAGCCCAGGATCACCAAAATCAGACACAGTTAAGAAAGTGTACAAACTTTATTGGAGCAGACACTCAACACACACAACACACAAGCTCACACAATACCTGTGGATAGGGGAGAGCACCTGGCCACAGGGTCCACAGAAATTGGGATGGCAGTTTGTAATGGGGCTTTTGCCACAGCCTTCTTTGCATAAAAGCTCTTAAATTGAGGGCCCACCTCCCATGGTGATGGGGTAACTCAGAATGGGTAGGTCAGGGTGAAGAGGTGCAAGGGAAGCCTGAGTGGTGGATACCCCTCTGAATGGGGTCCCCAGGGCTGTGTTCTTCAGTCCTCAGCCCCTCCTTACAGGAGCTGTCTTGGGGCTGGATCCCTCAAAACAGTGTCCCAGTGCAGGTTCTTCTTTCGAATACACTTGGTTCCCCTGGATCCACAGTGGAAGCCACTGGGGCAACAGTGGCGCCCATCAGCACAGCAGATGCCCTGGATAGTCAAGGGAGATAGAGAGTGTTGGACAAGGTAGAACCTGGCCCATGCCTACATCCAGCCTCAGGCTCATGGATGGCACTGACCTTTACATAGGGACAGCAGGCCCAGCCCCCTCGGCTGTCTTTGCAGCAGGTCTGATTATCATGGCAGTAATGTCCTGCCCCGCACTCCACATCCCCCAAGGTAGGGCGACTGGCCAGGTGGGCAGAAGCCTGAATAGAGTCCACTTCCTTTTCACAGGACCTTGCCTTCACGTTGCAGGTGTACCCAGCAGGGCAACAGTGCTGATGATCCTCACAGCACACAGCCTGGGAGTGATGGAATGACATCACACTCCTGTTCCCAGGACTCAGCTCCCTTTTCCCAGGGCAGTGGGTGGGCGGGCACTCACATGGGGCAACTGGCAGCAGGCCCAGCCCTCCCTCAGGCTTCGACAGCAGGTCTGCCCTACTGGGCAGCTGGTGTGCTGGTCACAACCGATGTCTCTAATTTGGGACAGGGATGTCTGGCGCGCAGGCATCTTTTCCAGGCCAGCCACTATCCTGTTCCCCATCCGACAGTACCCCACAGTTGTACAGGTGTAGCCCTGTGGGCAGCAGTGCTGGTGGTCTGAGCAGCAGACAGCCTGGGGGTGGGCAGAGAAGAGTGTTCTAGAGAGGACTATGGCAGTCCATCTCTCTTGCTCACAAACTCCCCCAGCTGGGGACAAATTGCAGCACTGGTGTGTCCATGGATTAGGCAAGAGAGCAAAAGATAAGGCAGCAGGACTTTTGCCACCCACCTACCCAGTTCCAAGATGCTGTCTTCCCCCATGTCCCCCTACTCATGTACCTCTGGGACAGGACAACAGCCCCAACCCCCAGAACTGAGTTGGCAGCAGGTATTAGCTGGGGGACAGCTGGTGAAGTCATCACAAGGGACATCACTCTCCAGGACTTGTGGGTCTGGCAGGCTGAGACCGGCTGTGATCTTCTTCATCCAGGGCACCTGGAGGATCCCTTGTTCACAGGTTCCTGTCTCTGTGTGACACTGAAACCCTGCTGGGCAGCAGTGTATGTGATCCTCACAACACACAGCCTAGAGTGGACAGAGAAAGGTCACTTAGCACGGGGGCCAAGCTAGCTGCCACCTCTGCTCAGCCCTCCATGCCCATTGCTCCTGAGTACCTTGCTAAATGGGCAGCAGCCCCAGGACCCAGTCTTGAGGCGGCAGCAGGTGTATCCATCTGGGCAGCTCACCTCCATGTCACACTTCACCTCCTGCACTGTGAAGTAGGCAGAGGACAAGTTAGCAGTGGCACTGGGGGGACCCTTGGAGTGCCCAGCCTTCCCAGACTCCCTAGCTGGAAGCTGCTACATAGCTATCTCAGTCCACAGTGAACCCTTGGCAGGGCCAATGAGGAGGGAGAGGAGCTGCACCTGCCTGGCCCCTCCAAGCAGCCATCAAACACCCACACCCATATCCATTCCAGAACTGCTCTCTGAGCAGAGCCCTTCCTTATTGGACATGTGGAGAGGGTCTGTCCCCTGGTACCTGGGCGTCCAGGCAGCTTGATCAGGAGGTCCGTAGTGTAGTTCTTGGAGACACACTTACTCTGGACCAGGTCACATGTAGTGTCTTGGGGGCAGCAGTGCAGGTGGTCAGAGCAGCAGATGGCCTGGGTTGAGAAAAGTACAGTTCTCTGAATTCCAGTCTCAAGTGAACACAGGAAGCAGCCAGGCTGATGACTGGCACTGCTCCAATACCCCACTAGGGGGCAGCATGAGCCTTGAGTCAGGCTCCCCACCCCTGGAGCCCCTTTTAGGGTGGTGTCCAGGCCCAGGGGGCTCCAGTCCTTCACTCACATTGGGCATTGGGCAGCAGCCGTACTTCCCACTGGGCAGCTCACAGCAGGTAGAATCGTCAGGACACTGGGTATGTGCATCAGGGCACACCACAGAAGAAGGCAAAGTCACTGGAGAAGGAACAAGGCATGAGGAAAGGACTGTGAGGGTGGAAGGGAACTTTTTCCCAGCCAAACATCATCACCCCTGAGCACTAACCAGATGCTCTCCCACCTCACCTGCCCCATTGGTCATTTGTGCAGGGATCTTCTTTACTAGGGGATGGGTGCCTGTGGGTGTGATGCAGCGGGTGTGAACCAGGTCACAGGAGGCCCCATGGGGACAGCAATGCACTCTGTCTTCACAGCAAGAGGCCTGAGAAGAGACGGTCCTTAATCCATCTTTGCCAGTCCCGACCACCCTACCCTCCATTTACCACCATCTCCCCACACCTGTACCTGGGGCATGGGGCAGCATCCCCAGGAGCCATCAACCATAATGCAGCAGGTGGAGGAGTCAGGGCATTCAAACTGGCTACCAGGGCACTGGACAGCACCCAAGAGGTTGTCTGCAGATGGGAGAATCCAGGATTCCACCAGCCCAGTCAGTGAAAGTCACTCTCCCCAGCCCTCAAGGAGCTGCAGGCCGAACTGCAGGGGGCTTAGGGGTTGACACTAGTGCTCTGTAACCTTCCAGGATCCCCTAAGCCACCCTTCCTGCAAGTGAGCCCCTCCCTCAGGAAGAAAGCAGTAGAGGCATCCACTGACAGTGAGCTGGTGTTGTCACCCCAGCATGGCCTCAGCACACCCAATACCTGAGATTCTGCATCCTTCTCTGGCCCATCTACTGGGGACAGAGCTGCCCCTCTGTTCAGAGCAGAAAGCTACTTAGGACAGATGCCACATGAATGAGGGCAGGAATCAGGGCCACCTGGGCAGTTGGGCTCCTGGGCACTCCAGGCTCCCCCCCAACCTGTCCCCATCTGCCCCCACTTCCATGTCCTGCAGCACCTGATCTCTGGAAGCAGGATCTCCCATCAGCACTACAGTGGAAGCCCCAGGGGCAGCAGTGAAGGCCATCCCCACATGACACAGCCTATGGGACACAAGTGAAGCTTGTGTGAGCCTGGGGTTGGGAAGGTATAAGAAAAGGGTAAATGCACATCTAAGCCCCTCCTTTGAGGTGAAGGCATCCTCACCTTGGGGAAGGGACAGCAACTGGAAGTCCCCGAGACTGTGAGGAGGCAGGAGTGGCCAGCAGAGCAGTGGGCATGGACCTGGCAGGGGTTGCCCAGACGCTGGCTCACTGTTGTAGGCCATGTGTCCTGGGAAAGGAGGGGGTATGATAAACCAAAGTACCTCTCTCCTGGCCTTCAGACAGCCCTTCAGGACACCCAGGCTGCCAGCTCTTGCTTGGCTTGTAGGGCACTCACCAGAACAGGGTTGCAGCAGCTGTAACTGGCTCCTCCTGGGTCCAGGCAGCAGGCTACAGGGCAGAACTGACCATCTGGACACTGTGTTCCAGCCACCAGCCCTGCCACTAAGGCCAACCAGCTCACCATGGTCCACATAGTTTGCCTGAAAATACCAAGGAAAGTTTGGTCACCAGCTTAAGCTTATGTGGCCCTCCATTCCAAGGCCATGCACTACCTTCTGCACAAGCCAAAGTACATGTCTGAAATCCACAGAGTATTCTAAGAAAATGAGCAGGAAGGCAAGCAAATATGTGGCTTGAATCAGCTTCCTACCTGATACCGCGTGTATCACACATGTGCCAGCATGTCCACCTTTTGAATGTGAATGATGAATTGAACATGTGTGTATCTGTGTCATCACACATGGCCTAACACCTTAGCCTCTGTGGGTGAGTGTGTGGGTATGGTGTCATGATAGGAAGGCTTGTGGCTTTTATGGCTCTGATCTGTGAGGATGTGGGCCAGCTCTGGGAGACTGAGGAGGCCTCAGCAGCTGTGGGAGAGGACAGAGCTGGCAAGAGAGGAAGGAATCTTTCTCTCAGGAAAAGTCAGGGTTCCCTTTCCACAGCCAACTCCACCTCCTTGCCTGGTGCTGAACTCCCACCTGCACCTTGCTAAGGCCTTGGGGGAACAGAGTGGTCAGTCACATGATCATATGGGAAACCACGGGTTGAGAAAGTTTTGAAACAGGAAGTACAGTGGCCAAGGGAGTCTGAACTGCCTTTCCCAAAGGCCAGCCACTACCTGCCTTAAAACTGTCCCTTCCCCACCCAGGGAAGATGATATAGAGGCTAGGTCAGACTTTAAGATAAATTCATTGTGAATCCCCCAGACCCCCAACATCACCAGGGCCCTTTTGGACTCCCTAGACAAACCATCTTCCCCTGTGTCCCCCTGATAGAAAGTGAAACTCAGCTGAAACTCGACTTCGTGTGGAAAAGACCATATGTGTCTCTGGTCGCACTGCCCATCTGAGTCAGCAGGAGGAAGCGAGTCTCTCACTTCCCTAACAAGCAGGCTTTTCCCCAACTCACTGTCCCAGCAGCTCTCCAGGTACCCCCCAAAATGCTAACTGCTTGGGGGAACAAAAAAACAGCAATATCCCAAGACCTTCTGGGGAGCCAGTTAGAGCTCTTTATTGTAATTTTTGGCAACAACTATCCAAAGTAGTAATTATAATATTACTTTCACTTTTCAAAGGAGGAAACTGAAACTGAGATGCTCATTAGCACATCTATGCCAAGTATCAAGCCTTGGTGATAACAGACTTTGATGGCTCCAGGACGTTACACTTTGGTTCATATCCAAGTGGCACCCTGGACAATGCCAAAAAATGGACCATACATTCAAGGAGATAGAGGCCAAAGGTCCAAGCAGAGAGAGAGGGACAGGCATTTCCTGGGCAGGTGACATATGCCTTTAATCCCAGCACTGGGGAGGCAGAGGCAGGTGGATCTCTGTGAGTTCAAGGCCAGCCTGGTCTACATAGTGAGATCCAGGCCAGCTGGGGCTACTGGAAGACCCTGTCTCAAAAAGACCAAAAACAAAAACAAAAAAAAAAAAAAAAAAAAAAAAAAAAAAAAAAAAAAGAAGATGACTGAGGGACTCAGAAGTTGCTCCCTGCCTATGTCATTCATCATTCTGTGTGGATATTGCTGGGGGAGAGCAGGCTGTCCCACCTACCCACTCACTCAAAGCTGCTTCTGGACATGGTGAGCATGCCTATAATCCCAGCACTTAGGAGGCTGAGGTAGGAGGACTTCCTGGGCTATCGAATGAGCCAGCCTGGGCTACACTGAAAGACATTATCTCAAACAACATCCCTGGGGGCATCTCCTGGCCAGATCATGATGAAGGCTGGTCCTTTCGCCCCCAACCCCCACCATCTCTCTCAGCCAAGCATCTGCAACTATCCCACCTTCCTCCTTCTTGGGTGTCCCCTCTCAGCCCGGTCTACATAGTGAGTTCCAGGCCAGCTGGGGCTACAGGGAAACCCTGTCTCAAAACAAAACAAAAACCAACAGAAAGTGCCTGTCTGCCCCGGGGAAATCTGGCACCTTACTAACTTTAGACCTTACTTCCTCTCTCTTCTGAGTTTAGGGGGACTAGTATATACTTCTTCAGAGCACACATACATGCACACGACCCAGAACCATGTGATAGGGGAGGCCTAATTCCTTTCATTTGCAGTTCCAGAGTGGTGACCCTGGTCATCCCTTACACCACACTGCCAAAACAGCCAAACAGGGCCCTTCAAGGCCGTAGCTCCTTATTCTTCCGCTAGGTGGCACCCCCCAACTCCGAGTGCCTAGGAGAAATTCCCCAAAGGTGAGCCAACCCAAGTGCAAAGGGGCTGGGGGGGCGGAGGGAGTGCCCGGGAGAGACGGAAGTTGGTTCCCCCTTCCCCAAGAGAGGAAGTAAGGCTGACACAACCTAGGGGGTTAAGTCATTCCCAGGTCTCGCTCCCAGCCCCTCTAAGATCTGGGGACAAGGGAGAGGGTTCCCCACCTACTGCAAGTCGCTGCGGGGAGCACTCACGCTTCTAGAAAGAGAAGGCACCTGCAAGGGGTGGGGGGGCGGAGATCAAGGATGGACTGCAGTGCTCCCTGTTCTGAGGAAAGGGCTGTAGCTTTCCAGCATGCCGGAGAAGGGCCTCTTAATGGGGAGGGGGGCGGTGCTTCTCTGCAACTACTGTTCCCCACCCCCAAAAGCCCTCCCTCTAATGAATCAGAAACCCATAGAGGGGTTTCTAGGAGCTGTTTCTCTGCTCTCTGAGCTGAGCCTCCACAGGAGACTCAATTGCACACCACCCCGGCCAGGGCTCAGGGCGGGAGCCAGAGAGAAGTCTGCACCGCCGTACTCCTACCTGCGTCGGGATCCGCGCTCGGCGGGTGGCATCTGGCTGTCTGCTCCAGGTCTAGGGCCTCTCCTCGCGATGGCCCGCCCTCCCCAGTTTCCGTTGGCCATGCGTCCGGGATCCAGCGCTTCATAGGTTACTTGTCGACGTAGAGGCGGGGCTCTCCTGGATTGCTGTGTTTCTTTTCTACTCAATTCACACTCCTCCTCCTTCTCCTCTCTCTCCCCACACCCTATTTCTAGGGATCATGTGATTAGAGAATCATATGACACTATAGTCCGCCTCCCCAGGCGGCGCCTGGCAGAGTTTCCCAGAGATGGGCATCGCACGCCTAAGGGCACTGATAGCCCAGAGGGCTGCCCCGGAGGGGGCGCGTTCAAGGACTTACCTGATACGGATCTGTTTGTACATCGCGACTCTTGCACATTCTGTGTTTATTCGTGCTAAGCAGCCAGGACTCCAAGGAGGTCGAGGGATGGTTGTGAGGGCGAATATAAACATACCCCCACCCCAAAGCCTTTCTTTCTCAAGGTGTTGGGATTTTGGTGTTGAGACAGGCGCAGATTAAATCTAATAAAGTTCAAGGGCGAGTACCAGGCACTATATAGCCCTGTTTAGGGAAGGAGCAGGAGGCTGGCTCGAGGTAGGGAGGAAGAGATGTTCAACCTGGAATACCACTTTTAGCTGAGTCTGGGAGGGTTTTAAGAGGCAGGTGGGAGGGCTTGGAGAGGTGGTTGGACAGAGCTGTCAGGAGGAAACCAGATAGAAAGCACAGCTTCTAACAAGGGTTACATACATTCAAAGTTAAGGGGACTGAGGATTCACTAGGTGCCTGATACAGACTGGTTGCTGTTGAGGCAGAAGAGGCTTCCTAGTTCTAACTGGCCTGGCCTTCAAAGAATTGCCATGGTGGGTAAAGAGAGAAAATTTACCAGCAGCACGGATTTGCCAGAGACAAGAGGCAGACTGCTGAGTGCCGAAGACCCAGACCGAGAAGAGTGATTGGAGGTGGGCCAGGAAAAAGGAAAGCCCAACTCTAGGCCTTGGAGGAAGGCAAGTGTTCGCTTTCAGAGTGGATGACAAGGCCTGCAAGGAGCAAAGAGCCTGACCTGAGGGCAAGGCTGTAGCATGAGGACAGACTTAACAGGGACCTTGGGAGTCTTCCTTCCGGTGTCTCCTGAAGACACAGAGAATGGCTTCTACAGCCAATAAAACATGTATTTGTATAGAACACGGCATCTTTATTTTTTGACAGTGTCTCTCTGTAGCTCCAGCTAGCTTGGAACTAGATATGTAGACCAGACTGGCCTCAGTCTCACAGAGATCAGCCTGCCTGTGCCTCCCAAGTACTCTCCGGTGTTGGCCCAACATACAGCAAAGGATGACCTACAACTTCTTGATTCTCCTGCCTCTACCTCCCAAGTGCTGGGATTACAGGCATGCGCCACCATGCCCAGTCACACTTTTTAAAAAAATATAGCCAGGCATGGTGGCACATGCCTTTAGTGCCAGCACTTGGGAGGCAGAGGCAGGCAGATCTCTGTGAGTTCAGGGCCAGCATGGTCTCCAAAGTGAGTTCCAGAGCAGCCGGGGCTACAGGAAGACCCTGTCTCAAAAAGACCAAAATTTTTTTATAATTTTATATTTCTGAGTATTATGCCTGCATGTATATAAGTACACCCTTGTCATACAATGCCAGATGAGGGCTTCAGATCACCTGGAACTGGAGTTATGGACCATTGGTAGCTGCCATGTGGATGCTGGGAATCAACCTGGGTCCTCTGCAAGAGCAGCCAATGTACTTAACCACTGACCCATCTCTCCAGCCCATCACAAGCTTTTAATAAATGTTATCTGATTTCCCAGAAACAACTGTGTGTATGTGTGTGTATGTGTGTGGAGAGAGAGAGAGAGAGAGAGAGAGAGATTGCCATGTATGTATGCTAAAATATCTAGAAACAGCCATGCTGTGTTTAGCAAAGTTTTGTTCCATAGGAAAAGTTGCAAAGAAAAGATTTAATAACTTAGAAGTCCTGTATGTTTGGAAGAATGGTGGTAAGGTCAAATATTTCTGGATGCCTGAAGGCCATGGGTCTTTTTATTTTAATATTTACTTATATTGTGTGTAAGGGGATATAGGTACATATGTGTGTGGGCTGCACTTATGGAGGTCAGAGACAACTTACGGGAGTCAGTTCTGTCTTGTAGAAAGACCATGTAGGTTCCAGGGCTAGAACTCCAGTTGTCAGGTTTGGCAGCAGGTGCATTTACCCACAGAGTCATCTCGCTGATCTGAGGCCAGGACTCTTTTTTAAAAAATATTTTATTTATTATTTTTATTTTATGTGTATGTTTGTATCACCTGCATGTAGGTAAGTGCACCCATGTTGTGCAATCCCCACGGAGGATGGAAGAGGCTGCTTTAACTGCACTCACTTCTGCCCTGGCTGCTGATTGGCCTGGCCTGGCTCCCAGGGAGTCACTGTGCCCTGATGTTCCCCTGGCTGCTTAGGCTTCATTGTGGAGAAGGTAGTAGTATTGGGGGCTTATGGGAGGGCTGGACAAAGAGCCATCATTTTTCTTTTTTTCTTTTTTTTTTTTTTGTCTTTTTGAGACAGGGTCTCCCTGTAGCCCCAGCTGGCCTAGAACTCACAAGGCAGACCAGGCTGGCCTTGAACTCACAGAGATCCCCCTGCCTCTGCCTTCTGAGTGCTGGGATTAAAGTCCTGCATCGTCACTCTGGGCTTCATTTTCCTTTTCAGGGCCTTTGTGTATCCTTCCCCTCCTCTTCCTCCTTGATTATCGAGGTTTATTTATTCATTTACAGGTTTCACTAAGTAGCTAAAGTGGACCTGAGTTCATAATCCTTTTGCTTTAGCCTCCTCTGTGCTGGGATTACAGGTTTGTACCACCAACATCAGCTTTGTTATTTTATATATGTAATTCAATATAAATACACCCCAGCTGGGTGTGGTGGCACACGCCTTTAATCCCAGCACTTGGGAGGCAGAGGCAGGAGGATCACAAGTTTGATGGCTTCCTGATAAACATAGCAAGAGCCAAGTCACCAAGGCCTACACAGTGATACACTGTCTCAAACAAAAAAGGCAATTTCATTTCATTGTTGTACAGACTTCACACTGCACATATACAGTCCTGTGTGTTTGCATTCTGTAAAAGGAACCTTACTTCATTTGGCTGGCACAAAGATGCAAGGTTTCTTGGAACTGGAAACCATTACCAGTCATTCCCCAACCCTTTCTCATCCCAGACAACCATTATGTAATGTATATGATATTGGTAAATTGCTCTGTGCTGTTTGAGCTCACTGAGATGCTGGCTCTGGAAGTGGGTTGCCTCCCCCATTTCAGACCCAAGCATGTTTGTTCCCAAGCGTCCTTCAAGGCCTCTCATCTAGGGATGGGCTAGCCCCCTAACTCTGTGACAGGGAGGGAAAAGAACAGCAAAACAGCCCAAGGGACAAAACACTGTGCCCATGGGACTAGAGAGATGGCTCAATGGTTAAGAGCACTGTCTATTCTTGCAGAGGACCTGGGTTCGAGTCCCAGCACCCACATGGTAGCTTACAACCTTTGGTAACTCCAGTTCTAGGGGATCCAATGCTCTTTTTTTTTGTCTACCTGGGCATTACATGCACATAGTGTATTTTACATACACATAGGCAAAACACACACATAAAAATAAATAAAAATTTAAAGAAACCTATAAAGCATGACTATTAATTATTGACCACGTAGAACAACACAGATATGATTCATTATTACAGAAATAAATGTTGGAAATACACTTTGTCATGTGACTTTTGGTGAGTTCTTTCTTTTGGTGGTGGTAGTGGTGTACTTTTGTTTATTTTGAGACGGGATCTCATATATAGATCAAGTTGACCCTGAACTCTATGCAGGCTGGCTGTGAACTCCTGATCTTCCTGCCCTTAACTCCCAAGTACTAGGATTATAAGTATGTGCCACCACACCTGACTTTTGGCGGGGGAGGACAGGGTCTCACAATGTAGACCAAGCTGCCCCTGAGTGCTGGGATTAAAGGCATCTGCTCTGGTTGGACATGATGGTACACATCTTTAATCCCAGCACTTGGGAGGCTGAGGCAGGGAGATCTCGGTGAGTTCAAGGCCAGCCTGGTCTCCATAGTGAGTTCCAGGCTAGCTGGGGCTACAGGAAGACCCTGTCTCAAAAAGACCTAAATTAAACAAACAAACAAAAAGGCATCTGCCACCATGCCTGACTCTACCTTATATTTTGAACCTGTAGCCATTTTAGCTAATGAGCCTCGGGGAGCCACCTGTTTCTGTTACCAACCACTGAGGTCCTCATGCTTGCCCAGCGAGCATTTTTCCCATTGAGCTATCTCCCTATTTTTTTTTTTTTTTTTTTTTTTTTTTTTTTTTTTTTTTTTTGATACTGGGCATGGTAGACAAGTGCTTTACCCCTGAGTCGCATCTTAACATTTTGTTTTCTTTTTGAAACAGGGTTTCCCTGTAACCCCGGCTGGCCTGGAACTCACTATATAGACCAGACCAACCTTGAACTCACAGAGATCCACCTACCTCTGCCTCAGGATCTGGCCTTTGATCCTCTGCTGGGATCAAAGGTGTGCACCACCACACTGGACCCCCTTCTAATATTTAGTGAGGTCTGTGAGGTTCTTGACCCCAGGAAGCTTATTATGTAGTGGAATTCCAGGGCAATGTTTTTGTATGATTTAGGCCTTCCACTGATTGGGTGAGACCCACCCCAAGATGGAAGGCAATTTGCCTCACCCAGAATTCACTGACTTAAATATTTAATCAAACAAAACACATACCCAAGTCAACAAATACAATCATCCATCACATTGCCCTTTGCTTGTTTTTCTGCATTTTTTTCTTGTTGAATTGTAGTTGTTATTTTATATTCTGGATATTACATATGTTACAGACATTTCCATTTACAGACAATGTCATTGTCATTTGTGTTTTGTGGTGTTATACCATCTGAAATCTGTTGATCAATCTTTCCTTTGTGGCTTCTGCTTTTTTTTTTTTTTTGGTCTTTCCCCTTGCTTAGTCAGTATTTATAAATAGGTGCTGGGGAAGGGTTTCAGGTCAAGTGTTTGCTTATGTGTACAAGGTCCTGGTTCTGTCCATT